GATAGGGAGCATGAAGAAGAGCCCGCGCGGCAGGTGAACACTCTGCCCTCCTGCTCCTCCAAGCTGCTCACGAAGTCAGAAACTCCCCGCTCCCTTCCGCTCCGCTCCGCTCCTCCCCTCCCCTCCCCCTCTCCCCCTTCTCCCTCTCCCCCCCTCCTCCTCTCCCCATCCCCCCCCTCCTCTCCCTCTTTAATCCTTCTCTCCCCCTCTCTTTCTCTTTCTCCCTCTCCCCCCTCGTCTCCTCTCCTCTCCCCTCCCGTCCTGCTGCCCATTCGCCTCCTTCCTCCCTCTCCCTCTGCCCCTCGCCCGCCTCAACACCTTTTCCTGGATGTTCTGCTCAACCCTGCTCCCTTCATTCTCACCTGCTCGATTGTGTCTGCAATAGGGCAGGTGCTTGCTTTCTGGAGGAAAAGGAGAAGTTAGAGTCGAGAAGGGAAGTACAAGTACGAGTAGGAGAAGCATGTGTAATCGGGCTGGGTTGATTTAGGCGAGATGATGATGACGAGTTGAGGAACCGAAGCCTCGGAGAATAAGGAGGAGGAGGAGGAGGAGGAGGAGGAGGAGAGGAGGAGGACACAAAGGAGAAGGACAAGGACGAAGAGAAGAAGGAGAAGGAGGAGGAGAAAGGAGGAAGAGGAGAAGGAGAAGATGGAGAAGGAGGAGGAGGAGGATGAGGAGGAGGGGTCACATTTACGTACAGAAATCTTCTCGAGGATGGATCGTTTCACGTTCTGCACGACAGTAACTCCTGCAACATGATGGCGTCACCTCGATATCCGAGACAGTCCAGCCACTCCTTCAGCCGCCCCCCCCCCCTTCGCTCTTCCTGCCTGCCTGCCTGCCTGCCTGCCTTCTGCTGCTGCTGGTGGTGGTGGTGGTGGTGGTGGTGGTGGTGCTGCTGCTGCTGCTGCTGCTCCACCCCCCCCCTCCTCCTCTCTGCATCCTCCTTGTCAGCCTCTGCACCTGCGAGCCTAAGCTGCTCGACGACGTCTTTGGTCATGAAGCCCTGGAGGAGAACGACGTCCGGGCGCTGCTGCAGGATACGAGTAGACTGTCTTGACGTCAGCAGGAGGAAGGGAGGAGGAGGAGAGACTCACGGCTATCCGAGAGTATTCTTTCTCTTGGCGCGGAAGGTGGGCTAGGGCTGTGGAGGAGAGAAGGTGAGAGGAGGAGAGGAGGCGAGGAGGCGAGGAGGAGATGAGGAGAGGAGGAGAGGACGAAGAGGCAGTGGTGAAGCCAAAAGGAAGAACAGTGGAAAGGTAGTAGTGGGGAGAGGGGAACGGAGGACGAAGGGGAGGTGGAGGAGAGAAGCAGGCAGTATAAGGAGAGTGTGAAGAGAGGAATCAGAGGGGTGGAGGGGGCAGAATGCGAAGGAGGAGGAAACTTTCTCACAGACGTAACGAAATCCTCGAGCGTACTCCACGGAGCAACCGAGGAGGAGGAGCCGAACTCCTCCTCCCTCCCCTAGCGGGGGAACACAGTCGGGCATCCTCTTGTGAGAGATCTTGATAAAGTTGTTCAGGCCATAAAAATCATTTTGGGAAAATCACAACGAGAATAGTTTAGACACCGTTGTCATACTCTATGTCGCATCATCATCAACATTATTATCATCTCCATCATCATCTCCATCCTCCTCTTCATCATTATTATGATCATCATCACCACCACCACCACCACCATCGTCACGATCATGTTCATCCATCATCAACTCCATCACCATCATCATCACCACCACCATCATCTCAACAGTCCATCTTAGCTCTGACCTGATTCGAGAATATGATTCCCGAGTACGTCAAGCTGTCCTCTGGTTTGCCTCCCTCCACCTTCTTCACCTTGAAGCTGCTCATGAACTCCAGTATCCCCATCATCTCCTCCTCTTCCTCCTCCTCCTCCGACCCAAACAGATTCTGAAACTCCTCCATGGAGAACGAGGACGACTTCCTGACGCTCTGCTCCATCGACGAGCCCTCAGACGAGCTCTGCATGAACGAGTCGGCCGCCAGCTGCGCCCTCCTCCTCCTCTGCATGCACAGCTGCGATATCGTGTCGAGCACCAGGTACTTGATCACCTGCCTCCACTCCTTGCGGAGGTTCTCAGAAGCGACGAGGTACGCGATCAGCGCAGTGAGATGGTCGTCCGCTGCCGAGAAAAGTTTCTGAAGCTCACGCATCCTCCCTACGTTGTCCTGCTCCCTCCCAGACTCCACTTCTTTCTCCGACTCCATCACACTCCGCCCTGGCAAGGCAGCCGGGACAGTCTTTGACCCACTCTCCCCCTCCTCGTCCTCCTCGTCCTCCCCCTTGCCCCTTTCCATGCGATGCCGGCCTTCTCGATCGTCATACGTCGCTCCCTCCTCCTCCTCCTCCTCCTCCTCCCTCTGCAACACGTCGGCGACTCCCTCAGGGCTCTCCCTTCCCTCGTCTTTCCCTCCCAGCATCCAGTCCCACCCAGGAAGGTTCGCACTGCGAGGTGAGATCGCCCACAGTCCCGTCTTTCCTGGCGATCGCTCCCCAACTGACCTGCTCGACGGATCTTGCGACGTCCGCAGCAGAGACCGGTCCCTCTCCGCAGACGAGGTCCGGGCTACGTCCACCGAGGGCCGACCAGTCGAGCTCACCACGTTCGCCTCCTCCGCGTTCTGACCCTCAGCAGAGGGAATGCTGCTGTCGTGGAGGGAAGAGCTAGCAGCCCGCATGCTATTGGTCGACATAGAAAAGCAGTGCTCGCATACTCGCTGCTCGTTTCCCTCCACCAGGGCCCGGTGGGAGCTGCACTTGCCACAGAAGATCCTCCCGCAGCTCCTGCAGTGATGCTTCCTGTTGAACAACGAGAACTGGGAGTTGCATTCGAAGCAATGCGAGACGGCACTGTTGTTCATCCAAACAGCTCCCGAGGACTTGGAGGAAGAGGAGGAGGAGGAGGAGGAGGAGGATTGGAACCGCAGAGGTTGAACGAGGCGAGCAAAGATGCTGCTGTTCCTCGGCTCAAGACCCACATCAGAACCGCGAGCCTGGCCAGCCAGCTGCTCCTGCTGCTCTACCCGGACTCCTCCTCCTGTCCCTTCCTGCTCCTGCGACTTGTGTGAAGCCTTGAGCCACCTCGAGCCACCCTGCTCCTTCCCCATACACTCTTCAAGAATCCTCAGCCAGTGCTGGGTGACGTCGATGCTGTCTCCTCTCAAGTACACGGCGCTGCCCTGGAGATGGTACAAGACCACCTGCTCCTGCTCCTGCTTCACGGATAGAATGTTGCGAATGGGAATGATGCAGAGCGGGACCGGGTCGTTCCCTTCCTGGACATAGCAGGAGAAGGTGCGAGGGGTGTTGGTGTCCAGTACGCACCATCGTTTCTTCCAGATGTTCTCCTCTCTTACACTCAGCCAACCTGAGTGTCTGTAGCTCATGCTGTCTGCGAGTTGTCAAGGCCAAGGCAACACATTTCGCCTTGGAGGGGGATCAAGCAAGCCTGCTGGTGCAAGGCTCAGCCCTGAGGAGATCATCGTTAGATCTTCCTTGACTGTCGCAGGGAGAACTCCTCTTCGACCTCCCCTGTGGCCTGCTCTGAAACATCTTCCAATCTCCCATCTACCCCGATAAGCGCTACAGTCTCTGTCTGCGTGTTCTCCTCACGCCATCTCACCGCATTCCTTCACAATCACTGCAACGTCTGCAGGCAGGAGAACATTTCCCGTGTTGCTCTTCTACTGCCATTTTCTCATCCTCCTTCTGCTCGTCTTCGTCCTCCGTCCTCCCTTCCTCGTATCCTTCAACCTCGTCCTCCTCTCCAGTTCTCACTTGTCCCTTGATGTCCTGCCCTGCCCTGCCCTGTCCTGTCCTGTCCTGTCCTGTCCTGTCCTGTCCTGTCCTGTCCTGTCCTGTCCTGTCCTGTCCTGTCCCGTCCGGCCCGTCCCCTCCTGCTCCCTCCCCTCCCCTCCCCTCCCCTCCCCTCCTCCCTCATTTTCTGCGCCCTCTACGTCGCTTTCGCGCAGCTCTCCCGACATTCTCAATTCCTCTGGTATTTTGCTCATCTGGGGAAATGAAGCCCTAAATATTAGTATACGGGTAATTATCATCCAAGTTTCAAGCTCCCCTCAGCTTGATGTTAGGGACTAATAAAAGACACTAATAAAATGCGATCATTCTTGTTATAAAAGGAGAGAGCGTTGTACGACGTGGGATCCCGGCGAACGCGAGCTTGCAAAGCGAGCACAGCACAGCACAGCACAGCACAGCACAGCACAGCACAGCACAGCACAGCACAGCACAGCACAGCACAGCACAGCACAGCACAGCACAGCACAGCACAGCACAGCACAGCACAGCACAGCACAGCACAGCACAGCACAGCAGAGTTTCAAGAAAGGGGAATAGAGAAGAGGAATAGGGCAAGCTGATAGCAGAGGGACACGAGCGGGAGGAGGACAGCGATGTTGGGCTCCTTGGTACCTCCCGAGTGCTCTTGCTGGTGCTTGTGCTGGATTTTCCTGCTGCTCGTTACCCTTGCATGCACAGTCAAGGTGATGTTCATGGCATCGAAGCCGCAGATCGAGCTAGTGTACTCCAAGGTCGACTACCCGTGGTCATCATTCTGCTTCGATGCAGTGCTCAAAGACTGTCCTTCACTTCAGATGGGTTTCCGACACGACCCCCTCCTCTTCTGGGGGGATCTGATGACCCTGACCGTCCTTGCTCGGTCTGGGCCTCGCATCCTCTACGACCGTGAAGTCCTGACGATGGAAGACGGAGGAACGATTTCCCTGGACTGGGTCTTGAGGACGGAGAACGGGAGCATGGGTTCGCTGGGCCCTGAGCTGGCAGACTCGCAGGCCATCCTGGTCCTCCTGCACGGGCTCTCAGGGGGTAGCGACGAGTCGTACGTCAGGTCCATGGCCAACTTGGCGGCAGAGCAATGTCAGTTCAGAGTGGTAGCGTACAACTTCAGATGCTGCGGGAGCACGCCTGTGACAGCAGGTATAACCTACTCCGCTGCATGGACGGAGGACTTCAGGCACGTCATCAACTACCTGCACAACAAGTACCCCAATGCTCCTCTCTTCGCCGCCGGGTTCTCGTTGGGAGCTAACGTGCTAGTGAAGTACCTGGGGGAGGAGGGCAGCCGCTGCCCGCTCGTCGCTGCGTCTGCCGTCTCGAACCCTCTCCACTTGATGAGTGCAAACAAGATGTTGAGGAAAGGCCTCGGGTATGTGTACGATTTTGTTCTCGCCATGGGGTTGGTCGACAAGTTCAAGCCGCTGATCAGGTGACGTGGGCGCCTGTTTCGCGGTCGCCGGCCCTGAGCTTGCAGTGGGTTCACCAGGTATCTTAAGAAGTACAAGTATCCGTATGAGATCAACTGGGACGCCATCTCTCAAGTGCAGACTGTGCAAGACTTCGACGAGTGCTTCACACGGCGGATGTTTGGTCCTCCCTCACGCTCCTCCGAGCGCCTGCTGACCTCACAGCAGGTTTCGAGTCTGTCTTCGACTACTATCGCAAAGGAAGCAGCCTACAGTTTCTCCAGGTGAGCCCCTCTTCTCCACTCCTCCTCCCCCTTCCCCCTGATCCTTCTCCCCTTCTTCCCCCTCGTCCTTCCCCCTCCCTCCCTCCTCGACCTCCCCTCGTCCTTCTCCCTCCCTCCCTCCTCGACCTTCCCTCCCTCCCCCCCAATTCCCCCCATACGATCTCTCTTCTCGTCGGTTGCTCCGTGACCGACGTTTCTAACGCCTGCTCTTGCCCCTGTACTCTCAGAAAGTCCACACTCCCCTCCTGCTCCTGCTGGCTGAGGTCGATCCCCCGACGTCTTCTTCGCCATACCTCTTAACGCTTCTCGCTACAGGACGACAGCATCATCGACGTTGCCTCAATGGACAAGCAGCTCATCCTCAGGAACCCCAACCTCGTCCTCGCGCTGACCAAGAGGTACGCTCTTGCATACCCACACCCCTGCCGCCCCTCACTTGTGCATGCAGAGGAGGGCACGTAGCCTGGCACGAGTCTCTACATCCTTCTAAGCCGCAGTGGGGAGATCGATCCGTAAGTGCCTTATGTGCTGCTCCTGCTGTCCCAGCTCCGTACTGTACTCCTTCATGTCTTCCACCACCACCTCCTCCTCCTCCTGCACTGCTGCTGCTCCTCTTGCTCCAGCCTCCTCCTCCGCCTCCTCCCCCCTCCCCCCCCCTCTCTGCTTCTTCTGGTCATCCTCTTACTCTGATCCTCCTTTGACTGACTGGGCTTTGAACTTGTAGACTCTGGAGTTCTTCTGTGCGATCTTTCATCATAGAATGGCCTTAGGGATGCCTCAGCCGACGAGACGGTAGCAAGCTGCTCCTGCTCCTGCTCCTGCCTCATCCTGCTGCTCCTGCTGATATTGCTCTTGCTCCTTCTGCTCCTGCTCCTGCCGTGGATGCTCGTTCAACATTCTTTATACCCACTCGACTAGCGAGTGTTGAAACCTGGAGATAGTGAAGCCTTGCGCTGACGCCGTACAAAGACCTGTCGTGCCACCATAAGGACCGAGAAATTTCCTGTGAACAAGTAGAAACTGAAAGAGAGGAGAAACATTCTTTGAACAAGTAGAAACGTAGAAAAGAGGAGAAGCATTCTTCCAACATGCGACAACTGCAATGATGTTTAGAGCAAGGCTAGAATCACTGTTGACGTCATCGATTCAAGTCTTTTCTGTCACTTGGGCTGTTGTATGTCACTTGTTCTCTCGTCCTCTACATCCCTAGTACTTCATACCAGGGTCTACCGCCAACATGGCAGAAATCTCCTGTCTCCTCTCCTCAGTGTCAGTGTGACACTGTGTTTAAATATTCATCAAAACTGTCGATGATAGTTTTACTTTGTTTGAAGTATTCATCAAAACAATCGTTGACAATTTCATAATTGTACTTCAAATTTTAATCAAAATAATCAGCGATGCGTTTGCTTCCAACTTCGATGATAGTTTCATTAAGATATCGAATGTTCATCAAAACAATCGTTGACGAATTCATATTGTACTTCAAATTTTAATCAAGATAATCAGCGATGCTTCTGCTTCATTTGAAGTGTTCATCAAAAACTTCAATGATAATTTCATTATCATATTTCAAAGGTTCATCAAAAACTTCGATGATAGTTCCATTATCATATTTCAAGGATGAATCAAAAGAATCAATCAAAGGCTCTCGCGCGCTTGTGTACATCCAGAAGAAGGCTCGAGGAGGCGAGGGCTCGTCTCAAGGCCTCGCCCTGGCCTCGCTTGTCTCCCGACGATCCTCCCCTAGAACAGGAACATGTCTCCATCCTGATGCGACTTGTACGTCACCTCCCCGTCGTTGAACCCCATCGCCTCCTCCTGCTCCTCCTGCTCCTCCTGAGCTCCCGGTTGTGCAAATCCCCCACAACATGCAACGGAGGAGGCGGCGAGGCCCCCCGGCGGTTCGAATGTGACATCCTTACCCTCCTTCCTCTCTTCCCTGTCCTCAACTCCTGTATGTTATTCCATGTTATCTTTATGACATCTTTCAGAGCAGAATTCAGGGTATAGTTGATATCCCATATATAGATAGCAGCTACGTGCACAGCCCCAGCAGATCATTATTGTTTCATCTTTAGTGTTTTTGTCCCGTAATATATTGTTCATTTTTGACAAAGTACAGTAAAAATAAACTAAATATCTCTAGTCTTCCTCAATGACTACTTGCCTACTGGCTGTCTCCATAAACTTTTGCAGATCACTCTCGGTTGCCTTTGCGATCTCCTCGTCTGACACCAGGTCGCTTGGGAGGGGGAGGGTGAAGCTTGTGCAGTAGGGCTCGCTTATGAAGCGTTGGATCAGCGAACAGGTCCATCCACGCATGCTATCGAGGTACGCGCCCTTGTCCATGGACTGGTCGCTCCTCATCTTTTCAATGTCTTCAACATACTGAAGTATGACATTCACGAAACTGTTCATGCTCGATGTGTATTGTTTGTCGTTGAGATGGGCACGGCCGAAGAATCCTAAAAAGATATCTAGCCAAGGCCGACCACTATGGGCATGAGCTCAATGTGCCCGTTATCGCGATTCCATTGCATTTTCTCGAGGTTCTTCATGAAGCCCTCGTCGAAGCAAAAGTAGTCGAGCTGTAGCTTGCTGTTCTTTACTTGGTGGAGATCCTTCATCTTTGACATGAACTCCCCGTCTTCCAAGATGACAATGTTGCTCTTCCGAAGGTTCATACTGATGGTCCTTCGATCTAGCGACTCGTCCTTGATCCTTGACTTGTAGTCGTAGTATCCCTTGATGCCGTCGTTGATCTTCATGATCTGGAAGGAGATCGTTGGGAATGTGCCGCAGACGTAGTCCGTGCCAAAGGTGGAGCCGTAGGTGTGGTAGCTGTTGTGGTTCATCCTCGGCCCCTTGAAGAGCCACATCCCCTCGCAGGGGTGCATGGGGCATAGGATCCCGTTCTCCTGGAGTGTGGTGTTGCATGCGAAGTTGTAGACCGCCACGCTCTCGGCGTTGAGCTTGATCATGTCGCAGTGTAGTGTTTCGGAGGTGGGCTGCGCAATCTCGCAGGGCTCCGTCGAGTGCTCGTAGATGTCTATCTCTGTAGGGATATCTAGGCCGAACTCATTGCCACCATCTTGATGATCTTGAGCCTTGCCCTCTGGCTTGCCTTCCTGAGCCAGTTGACCTCCTCTGACTCGCAGATATCCTTTGTGGTCGTCTCCTTGGCGGCATCGAGCATAAGGTTGTAGAACTCGTCTACCGCGTTGGGCAAACCACCGTCAACCACAATGAAGAGCTTGTGCTCGAGCACGTCATTCACAAAGTTCCTATCAAAGGCATGGTAGAGGCCTATGCTGGTCGGAGGCTCGGGCTTCCAGGGCATGCTATCTACATACTTGTGGTTCTGGTCCCAGTTGACGTCTCCGTATTCGTCCACTACGACATCATTGAGAGGCATACAGGACAAGCCAGCGAAATTCTTCAAGCTCTCCTTCTTCAGCGTCTTCAGGATCTTAAGCATCTTCTCCCTACAGAGCTGGGGGTTTGTGAGGAGCTCTATGACTTTGTTGTTGACCCCCAGGTTGGCCTGTGTGTCGAACGCGTGATATCCTTCGTTGGTTGAGTAGTCGTTTTGATCCTCATCGTAGTCATCCTCAATGTAATCGACGTCGGGTAGGACCTGGAGCCTTAGGCACTCGGTCATGGTGACGCTGTAGAACATGTTCCTGCATATCGGAAGCACCGAGCCGAGGATGATGAAGGCCGAGAGCATCACAAAGGACATCACCGCGGACTACGAGAAGGAGCCAAAGGCTTATGGGAGAGAGAACTACTTTGAGAACAACAACAGCAACGTTATCTATGTGGATCCAGAGACAGAGGGCCTAAGGGACGAGGACGCGTCATCCAACATCTCCCTGACAAGCGAGGTGAAGAGCATGAAGTCGACTGCGCCCGAGCCCAAGACTCTTTATAACTTCAGGAGACCCTCGAAGAAGCAGAAGCTGTACATCTAGTCTGAGATGGACGAGCTGTGGAAGACTATGAGATCCGTGTATGGCATTGGAAAGTGATCTTCATCGCCTCCTATGCCTCGGACCTCTCCAGTATCATTCTGTAGGATTTTGGGCAGGTAGGCATATACGGTATCTTGTAGGGTAGTCCCTGGGAATCGAGGGGTGGTTTAGGGATTTCAGTTATTTGTACCAGGTAATTTGAGACCTTACGAAATTGATTTGAAATGTTCACTAGAATAATTTTTATATGTCGATAAATAACAGTACAAAATGAAAAATATTTTATTTTGCTGCCACCTTGTCCTTTACCCCTTGATGCTGGCATAGATGCAAACCATCTGCTGATGTGGACCATTGGATGAGAAGCAGTTGAGAGAGACAATGACACAGGTGAATCAGAAGCCCAACATGCATGTGTGCTTGAAGGCTTGCGACGGATGTGTGATTCGGAAGCTTACACATGTGCTTTGAGTTTTTCAATGAGAGTTTTCCTCCAAAATATTTTATTTTGCTGCCTCCTTGTCCTTTGCTGATGCGGACCATTGGATGAGAAGCTGTTGAGAGAGACAATGACACAGAAGGTATCGCAGATATCTGGAAGGCATGCAGCCCAATGATCGTTGTGAGAGCATTCAAACGGATAATCTCCGTGTTTCACTTCCCTTGTTACAACACTGCGCGCTGGAGAGTTCACAGATACTCTGCAGAGATGACTAGCTTCTCAAGAGACTTTCAGATAGAATTCCAGCAAGAAAAGCATGCAGGCTTGATTTTGACATATATATTCCTGGATTCAAATGAATACTTGCTCTGTCGCAGAAAATTATTGTTGATGCAAAGCTTGACATCTGACTTGCAGCGAAAAGCAGCACACTTGCTGCTCAGATGCAGAGATGTTAAACCAAGCTTTATTTGAGAGGACCCTCAACTTTGGTTTAGTAAACTATCATTAAGCTCAAATTCAATCTACCATATTGAGTGGAGGAGGTTATCTAACATATGGAAACACACTCTGACAATCTGATTATTACGATCAGAAAATCACAAGTGTTGCATGAATCAGTATCGTAGACCATAAATTTTATAGGAGAACATCCGCTTCGCACCTGCCTAGAACATTTAAAATGAGGCTACCTACATCTGATTGATGGTACAATGCAGCTATGAGGAAAGCTTAAACGCATTTGGGAAATTTCCTCAAATTTTTCCTGGCCCAAACTTTCTTCATTGTCACGAGTCTTTCCATACCATCTTCGAAGAAGCAACATCCTCTTCATACATTTACATGTGTCCATGCTTCTTCATACGTTTGCATGTGTCCATGTTAACTGTTGCAGGTTCTGACAGAAATCCTGTGTAAACCTCAGAATGTGCTTCATAGGGGTTGAGAAGGTAAATATGACTGGGCGGCTCATCTGCAGGAAAATCTTCAAGGCTATTCAAAACTTTCCAAACATGAGGAGGATACGATTTATCCTAGACAAACACATGACGACAACGCCTTGTGTTGTGTTGCTCCCGGCATGTAACATGCCAAAGCCCCATTGACGGTGAAATTCGCATCCTTGCTTGCCATGCAGTGTTGCTTGTAGAAAGAGAATGCTTGGGATCTCGAGAGACTCTGCTCAATCATCACAATCTCATGCTCTGTTGTAGAATGATGCCATTCCAAACATAAATCCTCTTTGACTTAAAACTTTGAGTAAAAGTCTTTGGATGCGGTGGGACGATTTCCACCCACCCCACATAGATTTTGGGGTAAGCAGTACCGGTATGTTGTGACATTCTGTACGGGATTGGAAGTTCCTGGTAACAATATGTAAACATCATGTATGTGTTTATATATATAAAAATAAATAAAACGAAAATGATACAAATGTCTAACTGACTCCTACAAAAATAGCTATGAGATATTTGAACAAAAACACGCTGTATTAAAAACTAATTCAACGACCCCTCTCGAACAATCCATGTACCACCACCCCCTTATTCAGGGGAAACCACCGGGTCATTAGTCATAACCGGTACTGGGAGATCGAGAACTGACAAAAAGCAACTTTTCCTTGGTTTTTCCTGGGCGAAATCCTACAGAATGTATTCTCCCCTCGATTGCCTTCATCATCTACCTACCTCTGAGAGGGAAAGCACTACCCCCTCTAGGCTACGAGTACCACCCCTGTATCATCTTTTCATAGAGATCTGCCGTAACCGGTACCTGATGCTAGTGGTGGTGTGTGAAAAACTTCGATACGACCGTTATATTATGCGGAGACTACCTACCTCTGAGAGGGAAAGCACTACCCCCTCTAGGCTGCGAGTACCACCCCTGTATTATCTTTTCATAGAGAGCTGCCGCAAGCACCGGTACCTGATGCTAGTGGTGGTGTGTGAAAAACTTCGATACAACCGTTATATTATGCGGAGACAACCTACCTCTGAGAGGGAAAGCACTACCCCCTCTAGGCTGCGAGTACCACCCCTGTATCATCTTTTCATAGAGAGCTGCCGCAAGCACCGGTACCTGATGCTAGTGGTAGTGTGTGAAAAACTTCGATACACCCGTTATATTATGCGGAGACTACCTACCTCTGAGAGGGAAAGCACTACCCCCTCTAGGCTACGAGTACCACCCCTGTATCACGTTTTCATAGAGAGCTGCCGCAAGCACCGGTACCTGATGCTAGTGGTGGTGTGTGAAAAACGATACGACCGTTATATTATGCGGAGACTACCTACCTCTGAGAGGGAAAGCACTACCCCCTCTAGGCTGCGAGTACCACCCCTGTATTATCTTTTCATAGAGAGCTGCCGCAAGCACCGGTACCTGATGCTAGTGGTGGTGTGTGAAAAACTTCGATACACCCGTTATATTATGCGGAGACTACCTACCTCTGAGAGGGAAAGCACTACCCCCTCTAGGCTGCGAGTACCACCCCTGTATCATCTTTTCATAGAGAGCTGCCGCAAGCAGTGCCGCAAGCACCGGTACCTGATGCTAGTGGTAGTGTGTGAAAAACTTCGATACACCCGTTATATTATGCGGAGACTACCTACTACCCCCTCTAGGCTACGAGTGGTAGTGTGCCACCTTTTAGCGGTTTAGAGAGCAAGAACAGCTGCTCAAGATCATTGCGAGTCTTGTGGTTTTTGAACCTAGCAACTTGGCCCAACACAAGATGTGCACACTGTGACATAGTAGACACACTGGCAGGGCCATGGCACTTTCGAATGCTGGTACGGTCCGATCATCTCTCTTCGTCTATGGCATGATGAGCATGTTTTCAGTTCTTCGCCGCTGGAAGCCTCGGTGGGGCACAACATAGCTTTGCCCGCCAAAAAATTGATTTGAATTTTCTCGTGACATTCCGGCTGCCATGGCATGCAGCCCCCCCTAAATTCCCCGCCATAGCGCCCCGAACGCACTCAGTGCTGCATGGAGGCACGATGCCATGATGCCAATGATGATGCTGAGGCGGGGGGGTATTGCTCGTGGAGGCCCTTCCTTAAGCAGCTCAACGTCTACCTTGCTCGCTTCAAGGACTGGAAAGTCCCGGACGAGTACAAGCTCACCGAGCGCATCAATCGCCCTCTACCGCGCGGAGTCACACATCAGCCCTGACGCCCAGGAGAGCAGATCGAGGCTCGCAGAGCTACCGTCCTCGACGAATGCGTCCGGGCTGTCTTCGCTGCCCGGCCGGATAACCAACGAGCAGCTGGCACACGAGCTGCTGCTGTGCATTGATGTATTCTCGTTGACTACTTGCATGTTATTCTGACCTGCTGCAATCCTGTCTGCGTACTCTCTGAAATGAATCATTTCAGCCTATATTTTAGCCAGTGATTCCTCATTCGCGCGACCAGACGGCCCTCGCGACGTTGGATACTACAGCAGGCTGTTGACTGCTACCGAGCGCAATCATGACACGACGGACAGGGAACTCGTTGCTATCAAGGATACGCTTCTTTGTTTTCGTTTATATGCAAAAAAATCCCGAAGAGGCTGCGTCGGCTTCTCAAAGGGGAGGAACCGGCTCATTCACTGGCAGAAAGCAATACATCACGTTGATAACGACATGTAGATCGTAGACTACGCTTCACCGTATTCAACGATGTCTCCATTACTCAGCACGCACTTGCATTTCCCTTCCCCATCGACCAGCAGGACATCCAGGTTTTTCACGAACTTGCATTCTTGAAGTTTTGAGATCACGATCGCAAGCGCTTCTGCAAGCGGCGGTTCCCCTCCAACCACATACCCTGTGTAAATCTTACCCGATACGTGCGGTCTGTGTAAAGGTTTTGAGATCTCGTGTATGAGGTTTTTAAGTTCTTTCTGAACAAAGTCTTCCTTCGCTGCGAAGCCAAAGTTTCGCAGCTTATTACAGACTTCTCTGCCATACATACTCAATGTCGTTTTGTCACGGCCTACAGTCAACAAATGCTCGTTCACAAACATCTCCAAACCTTTCGTGAGAGACAAGTCGCTCTTGTACTGTTGCATGGCGTTCTCAATCAGAGCTCGGTTGTTGGCTATGACCTTGACCCGCGATAATTCTTGGAGACTTTGCATCTCCTGTTGCAGCAATTGGCTCTTGAGATCTTTCAGCTGTGTTTCCTTTTCTGCAATGCGTATATCCTTTTCTTCAATGAATTTATCCTTTTCTGCAATGAGTTTATCCTTTTCTGCAATGAGTTTATCCTCGCGAGTCTTGAGATCTTTCAGCTGTGTTTCCTCGCGAGTCTTGAGATCTTTCAGCTGCGTTTCCTTTTCTGCAATGAGTTTATCCTTGAGGGCAATGACTTCATCCTTGTGGGCAATTATGCTTGACTGCCACGGCCACCAGCTTGCTGATCCTGTTGGGGACATGCTGAGGGGTCTTGACAGCGTGATCTGCCGTGACCTGTCCCAACCAACACTGTAGACCAGCTGCTTATCTCCTCCTAGTCTTCCTCTTCTTTTCTGCATGCTGAAACTCATTCCTCTCCCCAACATTTTCAACATATTCGAATGTTCTGCCAGAAGCCTCTTTGAGTTGAGTTTATATAGCCTACTGTAGCCACCCCTATATACCCGTTATATTATGCGGAGACTACCTACCTCTGAGAGGGAAAGCACTACCCCCTCTAGGCTACGAGTACCACCCCTGTATCATCTTTTCATAGAGAGCTGCCGCAAGCACCGGTACCTGATGCTAGTGGTGGTGTGTGAAAAACTTCGATACAACCGTTATATTATGCGGAGACTACCTACCTCTGAGAGGGAAAGCATTACCCCCTCTAGGCTGCGAGTACCACCCCTGTATCATCTTTTCATAGAGAGCTGCCGCAAGCACCGGTACCTGATGCTAGTGGTGGTGTGTGAAAAACTTCGATACACCCGTTATATTATGCGGAGACTACCTACCTCTGACAGGGAAAGCACTACCCCCTCTGGCTGCGAGTACCACCCCTGTATCATCTTTTCATAGAGAGCTGCCGCAAGCCACCGGTACCTGATTGCTAAGTGGTGGTGTGTGAAAAACTTCGATACACCCGTTATATTATGCGGAGACTACCTACCTCTGA